CCACTGTTTGCACTGTGTGTCTGTATCCCACTCTCTCCCTATTAAAGTGTGCATTTGTCCCAATTCACATGTGTGTTATTCTTATTTTCTGTTCTATTTTTATTAAAACAATCGATCTCACGCTCGAAGGCAGTGATTCTTCGCGAACACGCAACACAGAGTTCCGTCAAACATGGCTCAGCAATGATGGCTGCCCTACGAGGCAGTGAACATCCTAAGAAATAAATAGAGCAACAAGCATATGGCATAAGCAGGCAGCATGACAATCATCTTCCTGGTAGATAGGTTTCACATTAAAATTGTCCATCTTAGCCATGACCTTATGAGCATTGTAGTTAACTCCAACAATAATCATTACCATAGACTTTAACAGACATCATCAATTTATTAAATCACAGACTTCTGCTCTCAGAGGAGAATCATAGCATGTATACGCCGTGAGATCACATCTAACACGCTTGACGCATCTAGTGTTCGCGTTCTCTTTACTTCAACCAACTCCGTTCTTTTCTCTGTCAAAGCTTTGTCGAGCGCTACAAATCGTGCTATTGTCATAGTCGATAGTGAAAATCACCTAGGAAAGGTATTTGGAACAGTTTGGAGGACTGTACTCCAAGACTATAAAAGCCGCACACCACCCATTCATTGCTCTTCACAAGTGGTCAATGCATTTTCTTTACAAATTTTAGTAATACATACAGTATAAGAAAGCCGGAAATTCGGCACAGAGACAGATGAATGTATATTTGGATGGACAGATGGTAAGGAGTGCTTATGTTTCTAGCGACGCAATTATAGGCCTTTTCTTAAATAAGTGGGAAAGGCACCTTCCTCCTTAACTTCATTAATCATTCTTGAAAATATTGCTAGATCTAGAGTTTCGATCGAATAATTAAAGAAAAATTCAGTGCTTTCACAAAACCACTTTTTAATTGTTTACTAGTTGTTAATAACAGGTTAAGATCCCACTTGAATACCATGGTTTTTTGAGTTTGGGCGACAGGGTACTCATTAGATTAGCAGTCGTATGCTTGACAATATTTGTTCCTACCAGCTTAGCAATTGCCATGAAAAGAAGTTCTCCTACTTGAGTAGGAACTCAAAAAGTTTTTACCTATCGTCACCGAAAATATGGATCAGCTGCGCATAAAGGGCACCTATATTGTTCATAGGAATAGCTGCTGCTTCAAAAAGGCGTTGTAGATGTCATCTGCGCTATCTATTAGTAGCAGGGTATCTGCGTTCGCCTCGGTGACTCGGTAAGTGGGAAAGGCTCCTTCTGTAAAATTTAGGGCGGCTTTAGTGTAGCGTGGAAAATCAGCACCAAGTATCAAGTCCCAAACAAGTTCTAGACAGAATGAATTTTACTACCAAGGTTGCCTTTTCTATGGATTCCCCTGCAGCATCTAACGCTTTCATCTTTACACTAGTGACGCCAATGAGAAGGGTTTGGTGCTCCTTCTGACACGCCATTTCCTTCTTTCTCTCCCTCCCACCAATATCACGCAGCATCTGTGCACTATAAATAAGGTCGCCAACAAATCAGGCAAACAAACCTGCAAAAATCAGAATAAATATGTATTTGGTCTTCTAAATGCCCATAAAAATGTTACACAGAGCGGATTTGATCTCCTGGAGGACGCCACACTGCTCAAAGTCTCGCACCAGAGGAGTTATTGAATGAGCTGTCCAAAGCTGCTCATAAAGCCAATGTCAAGAGAAGAAAAACTTTTACAGGGGACCTACGAGGAACTACATGATGACAAGGTGAGGCACGGATCTGAGGAGTTACTTTGCCTACTTGACGCTGGGCAGCATTGCTCGACAAAGAAAGGATCTTCACCTTACCTCGCATCAATTATCAGGGAACTGCTTAAGAAGCTGAAAAAATATAATTTTTACTTTTGCAGTTGTTAGTGACGTCGTGGCAATGCCAATTAACTGCACAATAGGGACTAATCTCTAATTTCCAGTTTCGCTAAAATATGAGACGCAATTCAGGCCAATGTCCGTAACCTTTATAAGAACACCATTATATGTAACTCTTCTACTCACTCAAACCCTCTTCTTATACTTATATTTACTATGCACAAATCTGCCTTTCTTGGCACGAAATGGGGAAACACACGTTAATTAATCAATGACAGGTAACAAGTCTAAATCCATCTCACTACGATTTCCCTAAAATGATCTCAGCACACACATTACTCACGAAAAGCGCCATCAATGATTTCAAAGGCACTCTCAGCTTCACGCTACATTCACCCAAACAGCAATGAGTTTAAACAACCAAAATTTTGAAATATAAGTCTGCAATGCCAAAACTTGGAAGGAGCCTTGTTGGTGGAAATAAAGGCGGCAAGTCTATAAGAGTAAAAAGGAAAGAGCGTAGATCTATGCAGCCTTTCATAATTCGTTGCAATTTTCCACGAAGTTGTCACCTCTTTGACAATGTGTATGCAAAGTAAATAGACGGGGTGTTCTAAGCTGACTCAGCTCTCTTTCGATAAATTGGACGAATACTGGGTATTAGCCTTTAGAGGCGTAAGAGCGGTATAGTTAATCTGGAGCGAGCTAAGATCA